GGAGAAATCCCTAATTCATTTTGTTCCGACCAGCATCAATTTCCCGCCAGAGAGAATGAGGATGTTCGAGAAATGAAGATTCAGTAGTGAATTCCAATCGCCGAATGATATAGGAGCTCTCTCGCAATCTCCGTCCATTACCGTGAAGGATTTGTTGTGTCTGATTTGTGCTTCGCCGCCGATTTGGTGGTCTCCGGTCGCTTCGACGGGAATGGAGAGGTAATTTTCGATGAAAAAAATGTTGCTGATTTGGGTTTTCTTTAATCCCCGAATTTCTTAGTTTCGTTTCTGTGTTGTAATGAGTGTGGTTAGATTTCGAATCTTCTCTGGTCTCTAGTGTTGTAATAATTGGGAATCCATATATGCTCTGTAGCTACAAGTTTGAGTGAATTGGTCGGATTTTTGAATTAACTCTTTGTGTGTGTTGTCTCCTTCGTTGGATCAATTGCAGTGCAGATACTGAGCTTACCAGTTACAACAACATGGTTGCGAAAGCGTATCCGATACGGATAATCAACCATAACAACGGCATAAACGAAGACGAAGAAGGAGTTGAACCTTACGTGGGTCTTGAATTCGACACTGCAGAGGAAGCTCGTGAGTTCTACAACGGTTACGCTACGCGTACTGGTTTTAAGGTTAGGACTGGTCAGTTGTATAGATCAAGAACAGATGGTACGGTTTCGTCGAGAAGGTTTGTTTGTTCAAAGGAAGGTTTTCAGTTGAATTCGAGAACCGGATGCACTGCGTTCATTCGCGTGCAGAGACGGGAAACCGGGAAATGGATTCTTGACCAGATCCAGAAAGAGCATAACCATGAGCTTGGAGGTGAAGTTCAGGCTGAGGAGACGACTCCGCGTCCTTCGAGAACTCCAGCTCCTACGAAGCTAGCTTCAACGGTTAATCCACATAGACCCAAGATGAAAGTTGTTGATGAGTCTGACAGAGAACAGCGGTCCTGCCCGTCTTCTTTCAAGCGCTTCAAAGGCAGTGGGGAAGGAGAAGAGAGCGACGAGCATCATCAAACGCAGCAGCCTAAGGCAGTTACTGGTACTGAGCCGTATGCAGGCTTGGAGTTTGGTTCCGCTAATGAAGCGTGCCAGTTTTATCAGGGATACGCGGAAGTTGTTGGGTTTAGAGTTAGGATCGGTCAGTTGTTCCGTTCGAAAGTCGATGGATCGATCACATCGAGACGGTTTGTTTGTTCGAGAGAAGGGTTTCAGCATCCTTCGAGAATGGGTTGTGGAGCTTACATGAGGATCAAGAGACAAGACTCTGGTGGTTGGATCGTGGACCGTCTCAATAAAGATCATAATCACGAGCTCGAACCAGGAAAGAAGAACGACGCCGGTATGAAAAAGATAACGGACGATGTGGCGGGAGGATTGGATTCTGTTGATCTTATAGAGCTAAATGATTTCAGCAACAACCACATCAAGAAGACCCGAGAAAACAGAATCGGAAAAGAATGGTATCCTCTGCTTCTCGACTATTTTCAGTCTAAACAAACCGAAGACATGGGATTCTTTTATGCTGTCGAATTGGATGTTAATAATGGAAGCTGTATGAGCATTTTCTGGGCGGATAGCCGAGCAAGATTCACTTGCAGTCAGTTTGGTGATTCTGTTGTTTTCGATACTTCGTACAGAAAAGGAGACTACTCTGTTCCATTCGCTACTTTCATCGGTTTTAACCATCACAGGCAACCTGTACTTCTTGGTTGTGCCATGGTTGCTGACGATTCTAAAGAGGCCTTCTTATGGTTGTTTCAGACATGGCTTCGTGCCATGTCGGGTCGTCGTCTAAGATCCGTTGTAGCTGATCAAGATTTGCCTATCCAGCATGCTTTGGCCCAAGTCTTTCCCAGGGTGCATCATCGGTACTCAGCTTGGCAAATTAGGGAAAAAGAGCAGGAAAATCTCAGACTGTTTCCGAGTGAATTCAAGTATGAGTACGAGAAATGTATATACCAGACTCAAACAACCGTCGAGTTTGACTCAGTTTGGAACGCTCTCATCAACAAATATGGTCTTAGAGACAACATTTGGCTCAGAGAAATCTACGAGCGGCGCGAGAATTGGGTTCCCGCTTATCTAAGAGCAAGTTTCTTCGCCGGAATCCCAATAAATGGAATTATCGAGCCCTTCTTCGGGGCTTCACTCGACGCTTTAACGCCTCTCAGGGAATTCATTTCCCGATACGAACAAGGACTTGAGCAGAGACGTGAAGAGGAAAGAAAAGAGGATTTCAATTCTTACAACTTGCAACCGTTTCTTCAGACAAAAGAACCTGTGGAAGAACAGTGCAGAAGACTCTACACGCTAACCGTGTTCAGAATTTTCCAGAACGAGCTTGTCCAGTCTTACAATTACCTTTGTTTAAAGACTTACGAAGAAGGAGCAATCAGTAGATTCCTGGTGAGAAAATGCGGGAACGAGAATGAGAAACACGCTGTGACATTCAGTGCGACGAATCTCAATTCGAGTTGCAGCTGTCAAATGTTTGAACACGAAGGATTACTCTGCAGACATATCTTGAAAGTGTTTAATCTCTTGGACATAAGAGAGCTCCCGTCTCGGTATATACTGCACCGATGGACGAAGAATGCAGAGTTTGGGTTTGTTCGTGATATGGAATCAGGTGTGAGTTCTCAAGATCTTAAGGCCTTGATGGTTTGGAGTCTGAGAGAAGCTGCTTCCAAGTACATAGAGTTTGGGACATCGTCTCTGGAGAAGTATAAGCTTGCGTATGAAATTATGCGTGAGGGTGGGAAGAAACTTTGTTGGCAGAGATGATGGAGCTCGACTTGAAAAATGTAAGATCAATCTCCTGAATTATGTATGATCTAATCTTCTTCATTCATGTCTGAAAGTAAAATCATTGTGTCGTCATGTCTTACTGCATTTATGTCTGAAAGTCTCATGAATCATTTTGCCTAGAAAATGTGAATTTTTAATGAATTTGGTTTTATCTCGTTCACTGAGGTTGCACTAAGTTGGGTTTCGGTTAGGCTTAGGTCCTACATAGATATATTTACTTTAGTAACTTTCACTCAAAGCTAAGTTCCCAAACTTTCCTCTGTTAGAACTAAAGATTTAAGACATCCTTTTTTAGATTTAGCCTTGAAGAAGATGAAGTCTTGTTCGCGGATCTAATCTTAACCCTTCTCTGATAACTTCGGTAGCTTCAAGAAGTGGTGGAGGTGGAGTTGGACTTCTTGTCATTGTAGTGACGCTTCCAGTGATGGACCGGTGACATGTTTGTTCTCTTTGTGAGTGTGTTTGTTGTTTCTGTTGTTCCAAAGGATCTGAGTTAGTGAAAGATCAGATCAGATCAGAATTAGGTTTTTTTTATTATTTTGGGGGAGAGAGAGAGATCATGTTTAGAGAAATCAAATCGTTTGATGCTATTAGAAAGCATAGAAAGTAATGTAATATCATATAATCAAAATCTCCTATTTTTTCTTCGCACTAACTTATCATTTCATATTTTTTAGGGACTTCTAAGTTTATAACAAAATATTATACTGAAACAAAAACTAGTCTAACCACACGAGTGAAGTGATGGATACGAGTACTACAGGCTCTCTGCGTATTCTCTGCCTCGAACCCACCCGGTAATACAAAATTCAAGTCTAATTCCGGTTTTCTAAAACCGGTTTATATCCCAAGTTTATCCGGTTAAAATTTAAATGGGTGAAACACTTAAGTCTCGAGTCTCGACCATGGATGTGTTCCGATGCAAACCAAGATGATTCAACATAAATAGAGTTAAAACATTGTTACCGAATTAGCCAAATATATTATTTCGTAGAAAGGTTGAAGAAAGAAATTTTCTAACGGAGAAAGTTTAGAACTCTTTGATTTTTATATTATACCAACGTTTTGTCGTGGACTAATAGTAATAACATGTTCATCAAGTATTCTATTTCTACACGCATAGAATTAAGAATAAATTCGATCAAACACAATCCACAAGACTCATTCAACAAGTTGTCTCTAAATTAGTAATTTACTATGTTTGGAAGCTTGACTTAACATATAAATACATTGATAGTTAAACCCATAATCACCAGCCAGAAAGTT